AATATTGTGTTAATTTCTTCTGTATAGCAGTGTCTCAAGTTATATATATCCCTCTACTTTACGGTTTTTCACTAGATACTGAATATAGTTCCCTGTGCTACACACTAGGACCTTGTTGTTTATCCATTCTGTATGTCATAGTTTGCATCTGCTGATCCCATGCTCCCAATCCATAACCACTCCCATCCTCTACCATGGCAACCGCCAGTCTGTTCTCTGTGTCCGTGATTCTGTTTCTGTTTCATAGATAGGTTCATCTGTGTTGTAGTTTAGATTTCAAATATAAATGATATCATGTGGTATTTATCTTTCTTTTTGTGACTTACTTCACTCAGTATGATAATCTCTAGATCTATTTGTGTTGCTGCAAATGGCCATTTTTATGGCTGAGTATGGCAGAAAGTGAAGAGGAACTAAAAAGCCTCTTGTTGAAAGTGAAAGAGGAGAGTGAAAAAGTTGACTTAAAGCTCAGCATTCAGAAAACTAAGATCATGGCATCTGGTGCCATCACTTCATGGGAAATAGATGGGGAAACAGTTGAAACAGTGTCAGACTTTATTTTTTGGGCTCCAGAATCACTGCAGATGGTGACTGCAGCCATGAAATTAAAAGACGCTTACTCCTTGGAAGGAAAGTTATGACCAACCTAGAGAGCATGTTAAAAAGTGGAGACATTACTTTGCCAACAAAGGTCCATCTAGTCAAGGCTATGGTTTTTCCAGTGGTCATGTCTGGATGTGAGAGTTGGACTGTGAAGAAAGCTGAGTGCCGAAAAATTGATGCTTTTGAACTGTTGGAGAAGACTCTTGAGAGTCCCTTGGACTGCAAGGAGATCCAACCAGTCCATCCTAAAGGAGATCAGTCCTGGGTACTCATTGGAAGGACTGATGTTGAAGCTGAAACTCCAAAACCTTGGCCACCTCATGCGAAGTGCTGACTCATTGGAAAAGACCCTGATGCTGGGAGGGATTGGAGGCAGGAGGAGAAGGGGATGACAGAGGATGAGATGGCTGGATGGCATCACCGACTTCGACATGAGTTTGAATAAACTCCGGGAGTTGGTGATGGACAGGGAGGCCTGGCTTGCTGCAATTCATGGGGTCGCAAAGAGTCGGACACGACTGAGCAGCTGAACTGAACTAAATATTCCATTGTGTATATGTACCACGTCTTCTTTAGCCATTCATCTGTTGCTGGTCACTTAAATTGCTTCCATGTCTTGGCTGTTGTAAACTGTGCTGCTGTGAACATAGGGATGCATGTATCTGTAATTTTGTCTGGGTATACGTCTAGGAGAGGGATTGCTGGATCATGTGGCAGCTCCGTTTTTTGTTTTTTGAAGGACCTCCATACTGTTTACCACGGTAAAGCCTGCCATTCTTTTAAGGAAATCGTGAGGCTCTACAGCCTGGATCTGAGTCGTGTCATCTGTGCATGGCAAGCATGTGAGTGATGGTGTTTGGGAAGCACACTGAGGATTGACTTGAATTGGTCTGGCCACACCACTGCTGGTTGTGCTTGAATTAAGCCTATTTGGGACATCAGACAGAAATTGCCTGAAGAATTGACTGTCCCTTATTCTCTACAAAACACCTTGCTGTGGCTCAGATGCTCAGTTGTGTCTGACTCTTTGCAACACCATGGACTGTAGCCCAGCAAGCTCCTCTGTCCCTGAAATTCTCCGGGCAAGAACACTGGAGTGGGTTGCCATTTTCTCTTCCAGGGGATCATCCTGACCCAGCGGTCGAACCTGTGTCTCTTACATCTCCTGCATTGACAGGTGGGTTCTTACCTGCCTCCTGTGTGCTAGACTCATGTAGTAATGTTAGATGTAATAGGTTTATATCCTCCCTGGCCTTTTTTAATGCCAAGAAGTTAGCTGAATCCCTTCATCTCATTTAAGGTAATGCTATTAATATATTCCCATTTAATATTACATATGGCTCACAAGTTGTCATTCCCACAGTTTACATGTTTACAGCCTAGAGATCTCATCTGAGATCTATTCTTAATATATCCAGTAGCTTCCTAAACGGGACCACAGGAATGCCCCATGGTCCCCTCAAATTCAGCATGTCCAGAGCAGAGCTCAGTATCCCCCTCCCACACCATCCTCCTGCTCACACGCCCCACCACTCTCATCCTGCCACATAGACTAGAAACCTGGGAGTTATTCTTAAAATTTCCCTTTTCCATATTCCTCCTCCAATCTTTCACCAAATCCAGTAGATTGTACCTCAAGCCCTACTGGTAGCACCCGGCTCAGTCTGCCGTCTCCTCTTGTTCAGGCTGTGACAGCCTGGACGACCAAGAAGCCAGGATGGCCAGGAGCAGGGCCGGTTGCCACCCACCAGTGCCTGGAGTGGTGAGTTGTGGACAGGGGCCAGGGGGACCGCAGGCAAAGGCAGAGCCCTACACAGAGAGGCCGGCAGCGGCATCATGGCAGAGGTGGGGCGCTGCTTGCTGTTAACAGAGAGCCCTCTGGGCGTCCCCTGTGGCTCAGCTGGTAAAGACTCCGCCTGCAGTGCAGGAGACCCTGGTTTGATTCCTGGGTCGAGAAGATCCGCTGGAGAAGGGATAGGTTACCCACTCCAGTATTCTTGGGCTTCCCTTGTGGCTCAGCAGGTGAAGAATCCGCCTGCAATGCAGGAGACCTGGGTTCGATCCCTGGGTTGGGAAGATCTCCTGGAGAAGGGAAAGGCTGCCCCCTCCAGTATTCTGGCCTGGAGAATTCCATGGACTGTGGAGAATTCCATAGTCCATGGTGTCACAAAGAGTTGGACGTGACTGAGCAACTTACACTTCTGGGGACTTCCCTGGTAGTCCAGTGGCTAAGACTTTGCACTCCCAATGCAGAGGGCCTGGATTTGATCCCTAGTCAGGGAAGTAGATCCCACATGCCACAATCAGGCATTCACATGCTGCAACTAAAGGTCCCATGTGCCACAACTAAGACCCAGCATAGCCAAATATATAAATAAATATTAAAAAGAGAGAAAAAAGATCCCTCTGTAACATGCACGCACAACGCCATGTATCTGGGAACCAAAAGGCTGGCTGAGAGTGTGTGCTGTTAGGGAGCTCAAGAGACCCTGAGGGAGGCTAGCTGGGCCTCAAGGTTTGCTGCTCAGCTCCCGCATGTGATACACGTCGCATGCAAAGCCGCTGCCGTGGACCTGTGCCTTGGGAGGGGAGTTGAATTGCAAGTGTGTCCCTGATGTGCGCCTCCCTCCGTGTAAAGCTGTAGTAATCCCTTTCTGGAACCCTCGGCTTCTCTGCAGGGGGTTGGTACCCAAATGCCGGCAGGCAGGGTTGGGACGTTTCTTGGTGACGATAAGAAATGACTGTAGGTTGTAGAGGGTCTGGAGGGCCACTGGCCTTCCGGGTGGGAGGAGTCCCACGGTGTGTGCTGTTTGTGGACGTGTCTCCTTGCTTACACATGTTTGGAAGGGAAGCAGTGGCACGGTGCCCTTCACTGTTTAAGCTGGTTCGCAGGACTACCTTCTCTTTCCCAAGAGACAGTCATCTTCTCTAAAGGCTAATGTGCTAATGTGGAGCGGTTCTGCGTCACATCATGCTTCAGAAGGCAAGATTAACAGCCAAGCCTCACAAAGTTTCGAACCTAGGGTAGTGCTACACATCTGTTTTCTGGGAGAAAGTCCCACCTTTCTGGTAGAGGCCAAGGGTTGAGGTAGAGATAGGGGAGAGGTGAGATGAAACTCTGAGCTACCGCTTACTGCCATCCCCCTTGGCTGTAGAGAGGTGCAAGCTGTTAAAAGGCAGATGTCTGATTTTCCATAATGTCTTTTTGAACCAAGGAAAGCAGGCAGCCCAGATTCCATCCATAGGCCTGAAGGCAGAAGGAGCCTTGACTTTTATGAGAGGGGCCCTAGGGTCCAGAGTAAGGACCTGAGGTGGGGCAGCCTGCTCTAAAGGCTCTGGCAAAGGTCATTACCTAGTAGTTCTGTTCTGAGTAAAATTAAAAACAGAGAGGGTATACACAAATGAAATGTGTCTGTACTATAGCAAACACAATAATCAGTGAGTTCTCTCAGTATAAAATTACTCATCTCTCATAGAAATCTCCTCTAGAATGAGACAGTTTATATAAAGCTCCTGGGAAAAGACATAGCCACTCCTTTCTCACTTCTTATTTCATTTCATTCTTCCGAAGCACTGTAGACCCATATCTGAGCCTCTTCACGCAGTAGTCCAAAGTCTTGTTGTTGTTTAGTCACTTAGTCGTGTCCAACTCTGCAATCCCATGGACTGTAGCCCACCAGGTTCCTCTGTCCATGGGATTTCCCAGGCCAGAATATTGGAGTGGGTTGCCATTTCCTTCTCCAGGGGATCTTCCCGGCCCAGGGATCAGTCCAGTGGCTCCTGCCACATCTCCTGCATTGCAGATGGATTCTTTACTACTGAGTCACCAGGGAAGCCCCAGTCCAAAGCCTATTCATTTGATAAATATTTTAGATGTTATTCAAGCAGATGTGTGCATAGAGAGATGGAAAACACAGTAGAATGGATTTGGTTTGCATCATAAAATGTGCATAGTAGTGCCCAGAAGAAGCAAACTTGTGTCATTTGGAGTCATTTAGCCTGGATTCATCCTCCAGCTAAGTCATCCATTATCTGTGGGACTTCAGACACACTACTCAACCTCTCAGAACTTCAGTTTTCTCCCCTGAAAAATGGGGATAACCTCATCACGTCTCAAGATGGTTTAGAAGAAAAAGTGCTTACCCCCCAGGGCCTGTCAGCGTCAACATCATCTTGCCAGTGGCCGCCTGTGCTGTTGGTTTATCACACCCACACCCTCCTCTGTGGCCTGGGCTGGTGGCAGTGTGTGCTGTCTCTGTCACATGGTAACCATGCGTAACTTCTCTTGGGGACCTGCGGTTAGAGGCCTCCCTGGCCGCCGTCAGGTGTTGGACTGGTCTCCCATAGCCAAGCTGAGTAATCTCCAAGACCCCTTCCCCTCTCCTCTACCTGTTCAGGCACAGAAATCCGGCTCAGGAGGGAGCACTCAGGCCGCGGAAAACCTGCTGCTGCTCGGCAAGCCTCTCATAGACCTCGTCAGCCTGCTCATCCCGCTGGTAAGAGCTCACGCACCTGCTCGTGCACCTCTTGGGTCGTTGCTGAGGGTCAAGTGATTTTGTTAGTCTCATGATGTCTTGAGTTTCTCTGCAATTTTGATTCCTTTCAAAACTAGAACCAAAAGAAATGTCAGAACAGTGTTTAGCCTAGAAATACTAAATTTCTGCTTTAAAACCTGGGTGACTTATGATTCGTTAAAGTAGATGTCTAGTAAGACTGAGTCTCAAATTCTTCTTCATGGGGGTAAGGTTAAAAAAAAATCAATAAATGAATTCCAAGAAGGAAGAAGAAATCCATTGTGGGGATCAATTCTCTTTCAGAAAGATACATTAGAGTTACTTGGCATGCAGGACTCCCCTAAAATGCAGAAGCACAGGCAGACTGCTGTCTCCATAGAAACAGAATGAAATAAGTGAAATTACACAAGAGACCGCACAAGACTACAAAGTATATGAAAAGAACCCAATGGAGACTTGGAGTTTGGAGCAAATGAACCTCATTATCTGTTTGACTTGGATTTCCCTGATAATTAGCAATGTTGAGCATCTTTTCATGTGCCTATTGGCCATCTGTATGTCTTTGGAGAAATGTGTATTTAGGTCTTCTGCCCTTTTTTTGCTTGGGTTTTCTGTTATTGAGTTGCGTCAGCTCTTTATATATTTTAGAAATACAAATGGGGCGGATACAAATGAACAGAGGGAAGGCTAACCCAAATCATGCTCTCTTTATGGACGTATAAAAGATTCAGAACATCCTCATTAAATGTAACTGATGCAATATGTGATCTGTAGGATAATACTTACATCAATAGCCTATCAGATTTAAACAATAAAAAGAGCTCAAAGCAGATGAAAAATCTATTTCAGATAAACTTTGGATTCTCTTTTTCACATATGTCTCTTATGGATGGATTTTGGCATTTGCCACATTCTGAGATTTGCTTTCTTTTAACGGTTGAATTTATTCGAATTAGAGTTATTCTTAAACTTATCTTTAGTCTTAATTTTATTGTCTTATTGTATATTTTATTTCTAAATGTTTTCCTAAATTAGATGTAGGGTTTAATGCAAAGCAAAGGAACCTTTATCAAGACAAAGAGAAGCACTCTACAGTAGTAAAGAATAAAATGCACAGGAAGATATAACTATGAACTTTTTGTGTCAAATACAGAGCATAGAACTCTAAAAATGGAGAAGAACCAGAACATACAGGGAAAAATATTTTTAAAACACAGTAGTATTGAGAGACCTAACCTATCTCTAGGAGAAGGCAATGGCAACCCACTCCAGTACTCTTGCCTGGAAAATCCCATGGACGGAGGAGCCTGGTGGGCCGCAGTCCATGGGGTCGCTAAGGGTCGGACATGACTGGGTGACTTCACTTTCACTTTTCACTTTCATGCATTGGAGAAGGAAATGGCAACCCACTGCAGTGTTCTTGCCTGGAGAATCCCAGGGATGGGGGAGCCTGGTGGGCTGCCGTCTATGGCGTCGCACAGAGTTGGACATGACTGAAGCGACTCAGCAGCAGCAGCAACCTATCTCTCTCATTGTTTAATGAATCAAGTAGATAAAAATGATAATGTAGATCAGGGGTTGACAGAGGAGGCAGTGTGGGCTAACTCCGCCCTCTTTTTGTAAGTCAAGTTCTATTGAATACAGACACACAAACAGTTCATTTATGCACTGTCTGCAGCTGCTTTTGCATCTCAATGGTAGAGTTGAGGAGTTACAGCCTGGACTCTGTAGCTCATAAGCCTGTGATGTTTACTGTCTGACTCTTTACAGAAAAAGTTAGTTGACCCTTGGTATAGAGGATATGAAAACTTTAATAGATTAATAGAAACATATCTGTCTCTCTACCCTGAAAATTGAGACTGTACCTCCTTCTTGAATTTCTGGAAACACTTCACCATGCATTAGGTTAAAAGAATATCAGTAAATATCAGAAGAATATCAGTAAATAGGAATTGTATAGACAACATATTTTAACCATAATACACTTAAAGTAGAAAGAAAAATGAAAATAATTAAAAATACACTGTTAACAAATATTCTCAATGAGCACAAAGATCTTATGGATTGTATCTCTCTGGATCCCACCACAAGACAAAAAACACATATTGATTTAAACAGGAGAATTTCAATATAAAGACTCATTAAACAGTAATTGGAGAGTAAATGTAAGATTTACAAAGAACCCTGTAAGTTATTCAGACACTGAGGGAGAGTACCCAAGGAAGGACAGACTTGAAGGGTTGAGAAACAACAGTGAGAACCGGACGTGGAGCAGCAGACTGGTTCCACATTGGGAAGGGAGTGCGTCAAGGCTGTGTATTGTCACCCTGCTTATTTAACACATGTGCAGAGTACATCATGTGAAATGCCAGGCTGGATGAAGCACAAGCTGGAATCAAGATTGCCAGGAGAAATATCAATAATCTCAGATACGTAGATGACACCACCCTTATGGCAGAAAGCGAAGAAGAACTAAAGAGCCTCTTGATGAACATTAAAGATGAGAGTGAAAAATTTGGCTTTAAACTCAACATTAAGAAAACTAAGATCATGGCCTCTGGTCCCATCACTTCATGGCAAATAGATGGGGAAACAATGGAAACGGTGAGAGACTTTATATTTTAGGGAGCTCCAAAATCACTGCAGATGGTGACTGCAGCCATGTAATTAAAAACACACTTGCTCCTTAGAAGGTTATGACCAACCTAGATAGTATATTAAAAAGCAGAGACATTACTTTGCTGACAAAGGTCTGTCTGGTCAAAGCTATGGTTTTTTCCAGTAGTCATGTATGGGTGTGAGAGTTGGACTATAAAAAAAAGCTGGGCACTGAAGAATTGATGCCTTTGAACTGTGGTGTTAGAGAAGACTCTTGAGAGTCCGTTGGACTGCAAGGAGATCCAACCAGGCCATCCTAAAAGAAATCAGTCCTGAATATTCATTGCAAGGACTGATGCTGAAGCTGAAACTCCAATACTTTGGCCATCTAATAGGAAGAACTGACTAATTGGAAAAGACCCTGATGCCGGGAAAGATTGATGACAGGAGGAGAAAGGGATGACAGAGGATGAGATGGTTGGGTGGCATCACCAACTTGATGGACATGAGTTCGAGCAAGCTCTGTGAGTTGGTGATGGACAGGGAAGCCTGGCATGCTGCAGTCAATGGGGTTGCAAAGAGTGGGACACGACTGAGTGACTGAACTGACTGACCTCTTCCCGCAGGCTGTGGATCAGACCTCACTGGAGATGGTGTGACTGCAGCCCACAGGACAGTGGACAGATCTGCTGGGTTGCCCCAGCCAGAGCTGGTTAACAGTCCCTGGGCAAGCAGGAAGCAGCCCTTCACAGTGCAGGTGCATCGTAGCCAGTGGGTAAACACACAGGGGGAGGCAGGGTTCTGATGGTGGTGGGAGGCCTGGAGGGTGCGTAGGGGGATCACAGGAGATAAACCCAGAAAAGAGGACAGACAGGGGAAGTGGGGATGCCAGTGCCCTGGAAAGCCTGGAGTGCATGATACCCCTGGGGGTGGTGGGTGCGGGGAAACAGTGGATTTCTGATCACAGGCCAGGCTAGGATGGGGGCTACAGAGGGGCCCATACTGTGGGCCCATGGAGCGGTCAGATCTCTGTCAGATGCCATCACATTTTATACTCTGGCCAACAGTACAGCTGCCAGAAAAAAACAGGAGAGCCCCTTCTTTTTTTGTTGTTGTTTGCTTGTTTTTTTTAAGGTTAAAAAATTTTTTAAATTGGAGGATAATTGCTTTACAATGTTGTGCCAATTTCTGCCATACAGCCACATGAATCAGTCATAAGTATACATGTATCCTTTCTCATTTGAGCCTCCACTCTTCCCTCCCCGATCACACCCCCTCGGTCCTCACAGAGCGCTAAGCCGAGCTCCCTGTTTTATATGGAAGCTCCCCACTAGCTGTCTGTGTTACACATGGTGATGTCTGTGTCTCAGTTCTTCCCACCCTTTCCTTCCCCCAACTTTGTCCACTATTCCACTCTCTACGTCTTTGTCTCTGCGTCTGCCCTGAAAATAGATTCATTGGTACCATTTTTTTAGATTCCATGTATATGCCTTAATATACGATGTTTGTTTTTCTCTTTCTTACTTACTTCACTCTGTGTAACAGGTCTCGGTTCGTGCACCTCAGTTCAACTGACTCAAATTCATTACTTTTTATGATTGAGTAATATTCCATCACATATATATACACACATATACACACACACACATATATATATATGTATATATATATACCACAACTTCTTTATCCATTCAACTGTCAGTGGACATCTAGTTCATTTCCATGTCCTGGCTATTGTAAATAGTGCTGCAGTGACCATTGGGGTACATGTGTCTTTCAGTTATGGTTTTCTTAGGGTATATACCTAGTAGTGGGATTGCTGGGTTATATGGCAGTTTTATTCCTACTCTTTGAGTAATCTCCATACTGCTCCATATCAGAAAAACAAACAACTATATCAAAAAATGGGCAAAAACCTAAACAGACATTTCTCCGAAGAAGACATTCCAGCTGGGCAGCAAACACATGAAAATATACTCAATATCTCTCATTATTAGAGAACTGCAAGTCAAGACTATAATCAGGTGTCACCTCATACCAGTCAGAATGGCCATTATCTGAATATCTGTAAACAATAAATGCTAGAGAGGATATAGAGGAAAGGGAGCCCTCTTGTACTGTTGGTGGGAATGTAAATTGATACAGTCCCTTCTGGCTGCAATGTGTTCCCTGAGATGTTTTCGCCAGCCTTTGGAACTCTGAACTCTTATTACTAGTAACTTAATCACACTTAGGTTCTAGTATGTTAGCCAAACATTTACCTAAGGTATGTGAACTCTGTTGTATACATACATATTTATCACTGAAGTCATTAGCTTTAAAAATGACCTGCAACAAACATTCAATTTATCTTCTCTGGAAAGGATAATACACATTTATATCTA